TTTTAAGTTTGTATGGTTGTTCTGTAAGACGCCATTTATCTGCTGATGAGCGAAGTATTCTTGTTGGTTTATAACGGCATACAAGTTCTTGTAAATATTTAGGAGCAATGTTATTTACTATTTTGAAACACATTAAATTAATCTTAAAAACTATTCTTTCTTGAACTGGCAACCACTGTAGGTTTCTTAAAGTTGGGCTGATGTGGTCATACTTTCGCAAGCAAGCTATAACCCGTGCTGCTGCATTTTGTACATTTTGCAGTTTATTGAGTTCATACTTAGGTAGACCATACAAAAGTGAATTGCAGAAGTCTAATCTTGAACTGACAAACGAATGAACTAGTACTTCCGTTGTGTCCGCACTAATATACTTTCTGATCTTGGCTATGTTCCTTAAGTGATAAAAAGCTCCCTTGACCACTTCATTTATGTGAGGTGACATTGTTAATGTTCTGTCGAACGTTACTCCGATATTTCGTGCTTTTTCACTAGATTTAATGGTGTCAGATTTAACAGTTATGTTTGTTTGCAACGAAATCTGTCGGAACTTCGAGTGGAAAACAAGGAGTTCTGTTTTGCCAGTATTGAGTTTTAGCTTATTAGCAGACATCCAGTTGGTGATATCAGCTAGACATCTTTCAACCCGACACGTCGCCAACGAGAGTTCAACATCATTATTGAAGCCAAACGTGGTATATATTTGATTATCATCTGTATATAGATGAAATGATATGTCGTGTTTTCGCATTAGATTTCCCAATGGAGACGTGTATAGCAGATATAATAATGGTCCCAACACCGACCCTTGTGGCACCCCGTAACTGACGGGATGAACTGATGAACTGTTCCCATCTATTTTGACAAAATGTGTGCGGTCTGTAAGATACGACCGAAACCATGCTTGAGCTTTTCCCTTTATACCAAAATTTGACTGCAATCTGTTTAACAAAATGTCATGATCAACAGTATCGAATGCAGCTGATAAATCTAACAATAGAAGAATCACACATTTGTTGTTGTCAATGACTTTCAAGATGTCATTCTGAACTCGAACAAGTGCCTTCAAAATGAAGGTTTCAAATGACATACGAGATTCTCTTAGTCTCTAATGCTTTTACTGTGTATATGTAATATAGTTAATCATTCAAGTTATTGTCCCCGAGCCGGCGGCGCGAAGCGCCGTGCGAGGGTACTAATTCCCCCCGGCTATTTACACCCAGGGAAACGAAAGCATTAGGGAAGTCTAAAGTTCATCAATGAGCGCGGGCGTCGGTCACCAACGATGGGTGGTCATCCTCACTGATCTCAAAAAATGGCGGACTGTCATGAATAACGGACACTGATTGGTCCAATTTAAAGTTTGCATTATAACGACTGCATGACGACAGCGAAATAGCAAACATTTCTTGATTTGATGAGTTGATGATTGATAAATTTCTTGCAAATATTCTTTATTTTTGCTCGTATTTCTGCAAGATTTTGTAAATTTCAAGAATGAAAGGGCGAAAGAATCAGCTAAAAGAAGGGAGCCGACGTTAACGAAGGTAAGTTTGTTTTAAATATTGATTTTATAATGGCTTTAAAACCGACGGCTTTTGCGTATATCAAACAACTAAACAAGACAGCATATAATTTCAGTGTACCTTTAATATTGATTCCCTTTTTTATTATATTGAATTTTTTAAATAAAAAATAAAGCAAAGTTATTTGCAAGCGAGAATTTGAAATCATTTTATTGCAAACTCAAAGTTTATCGATAAAGCCATTTAATAGTTAAAGGCAGTTTAATTTTATAAAGAACACTTTAAAACGTTTTGTGAATTGTTTGTGGTTGAATTTTACCTTAAATTGAAGCTTGTATTACGTATAATTACATACCTAACATATATATATGTTGAGAAATTGATAATTTTGTAATTAAAAGTGATATTTTTAGGCGATTTTCATTTGTAAGAATATTCTTAAAAAATTATCGTGTTACCATAACAACTACTTTAGATACTTCATGTTCGGAAAATACAACGGTTTTGTCAGCAAGGCGAGGGTTTCTGCATGCATGTATTTTCTAGTAAAATCTAGTTTCCTCTTTGTTTTCCTTTTCTCTCTTTTCTTGCTATATTTACATAGATTTATATAATTGTATATATGCACCGCTCTCAGGAAGAGCATTATTTATGTAATGATGAGATTTCCGTGTTGAAATGGAGTTTATACATACATACATACACACATACATACACACATACATTGATAATTAGCATGCGTTTAAAATAACAACACAATTTTAAATTCAGAGATTTCCTCAAGAATCAAGATTTCCTTCGGGGCATATAAAGGTTTGAAAGATTTAAAATATAATCTATTGAGTTTAATTTTGTGCTGTATCGAAATTAAGAAAATCAAGACAAAATTCTAGTGTTTGGACACTCAGCGAACAATGCTGACAAAAATATAAAGTACAACTTAACAAACTATCAGACGGAAATTTATAGTTACAACTAGAAATACATGAATGCAGTAACCCCTCGCCAATATTTTCCAAATATTAAATTAACATGAAGTATTCAGAAATGACCAACACTGAACGCAGCTTGCGCTCAAGTTTGCCATGACAACACGATATTCTTAAATTTTTAAATGTTTTTGTACAAAACTTAAAAATAGTTGAAAGATTCGTACTTTTAACTGTACAACAATAAATTTCCGAAATATATACTGTAGGTATATCATTTTGCATTTTGTGAGCTTTGATTTAATGTAAAATTTAACATGAAACGCTTCGTAAAATGTTTGAAATGCTCATTCAACATTTCAACTAAACTACATTTTAGTGTTTTACCGATAAACTGTTCTAAGTTTAATACACATAAAACAAATTGTTAAGTAATTTCAATTTAGGCTTCACTGAATAAATTTGTTCGCCTTTACATTTTAAGATTTTTTCTCAAATTCAACGGTAATTTATGAAACTTAGAGCTTCGTTGAAAAGGAAAACAGTTCACGTTTTTAGGCAAAAAGTTTAGAAAGCAACAAAATTCGTAAACATTAAATATTCAAAGCAAACTTGCCGTATATTTTACGATTTCCCATAGTAAATCAATTCTTCTCATTTCTTCAAACAAAATTGCTTCAAGCTTGTTGTATATGAAACGATTTTCCAAATATATACAGAATGTCTTTTAAAATTGAAATCTTGCTTGCAGTATCCCACTCCTACATGCAATCAGCCATATTTTTGAGATCAGTGAGGATGACCACCCACTCAAGATCGTTGGTCACGCCCGCGATCATTGATGAACTTTAGACTTCGCTAATGCTTTCGTTTCTCCAGGTGTAAATAGCCGGGGGGAATTAGTATCCTCGCCCCGGGCTCGTCCCGAACCCACGCGACAAAGCATTTTCTTTAATTAATGTGTTTAACTTCGTCTTATTTGGCCAGTTACTTTAATTACTTTAAAATGCACCTTTTGAATAACCTGTTGTGTTTATATTTAATAGTATTACTTTGTCTTTGTAAACAGCTATACGCCAGGCATATGTACGCCAAGAACTGAGCTTGTACACCAGACTTGCCAGCTATGATCATCGTTCAGCATTGTTCGCATTCAAAACAAATCTCTTCATCGAGAAATTTATGCAACATATTTCTGGTGTATTGTTTTTCAGATTATATTTCAAGTCTTTCAAACATTTGTATGCCCCGAAGGAAATCTTGATTCTTGAGGAAATCTCTGAATTAAAAATTGTGTTGTTATTTTAATAAACGCATGCTAATTATCAATTAACCAATGAAATATCTTCATTTGTCATATATTATTCAAATAAAGCACTGTGTCCAATCAGAGGCCTTTCCTCAAATCTGGGGAACACCCGCGCGACCAGAACAAGGAATCTTCATCCAACTCACAGACGTTCTTTCGCGCGCTTCGTCGAGAGTAACGTCTGTACACAGGCTACATTTGGCCTTCTATATTGATAATAATTATTTTTCGTCCATTAATTATTCTAATTGTTCCTTTTCCTTTCGGGGTTTTTCGTTTTCCCTCATTAAGTATTTTCGTTTTTTCCTAATTAATTATTTGATAGCAAGTGACTGGGGACGAGGCAGTTCCATCATTGTGTCAGCATATTCTATAAGCAGAGATTCATCGGGAATAAAACTTTGTAATAAAGCAATAAAGTCACACAGGAAGAACAGGAAATACAATACAATGAAAACTCCGCAGAAATTCAACGTTTCGACTACTGTTGAGTCATCATTGAGTCATTGGACTAATTAGGGTCAATAGGTTAGGTTTACGCTTGAGCGAGCTCCGCTTAAATATAAAAAATTTCAGTTAATTTCTCAGCTATTATATTAAGCTTTATATTTAATTAAAGCTAAGGATTTTGTGCATCCTCTCATCGTATTTTGAAATTGGATTTGTATCTTGGTGTAAAGTTATTTTGGTTTGTTGGATCGTATTACCATCGTATTATTATAGCGCTACAACTGTGAATTTTGGTTAATGAACAATATCTTTGTCGTCGTTTGTCGTTTTCGTCCGAATCTTGCTGTGTGATCTACGAACCGTTTTGTGGTTATTTTGTATAATTTTGGTGTTATTTAAATGTACTGTTCATGAATTATTCAACATTAATTATTTTTGACCGTTGGAACTTTTGAAATTTAAATCCCGTCTGGCGTCGCTCTCCATGGCAACAACTATCTTATGCAATGGTGTTTAAATCAAATAGAATAACCTTCAATAAAATGCTCAATAAAGTTTTTGGATATCTCTTCTTTCTCATTTTAACTTTCTGGTTATCAATAAGATCAAAACCATCAGAAATTCAACCCAACGACAGAACATTTCCCCAGAATATGAATATCTGCAGCATTTCCCCAGAACTAGTGTCAATATCAAATCGATTGTGTTGTCTTTGGTCTTCCACGCGCGATAATACTTTACGTAAGTCTACTTTCCTTCTCATGTCTAATCACAGATATGGCCTTCAATTTAACATTGCGAATAGTAATTTGCACCTTCTCTTGTGTATTCTACTTGCTGGTGATATAGCAACTAATCCTGGACCTG